TTGGGTACAAAGTCTATTCACTAAGTGCTTTGTTCTCTAAAATAGAGTTAAAAAAGATAACAAGCAGACATCTAAGCGAAGCATCTTGGTGAGCTATAGTACTATTAAGCAATAATATAGTAGGATATTTCTGGAGCTTTGTCAAATACTACAGATATAAAAATAGAAGTAGATACTTGGTAAAATATAGTATTATATATAGTATAACTCTTATCAACTCTTGGGTTTTTGGTACTTCTCTCCATGCTCTTTTGGCCTTTTGAAATTTTAACAAAAGTAGGCTTTTTTGTTTACCTTCTCCAAAAGATCAGCACTTTGTAATGCTACTAAATATGGTAGCCCAGGCCCTTTTAAATTAGAAACGTGTTTACCGAAATGGAATCTCACATGAGTAAATTTGGTTAATACTTGCTAAACAAACAAGGACTGCTATAGAAGAGGTTGGATAGGGCATGTAATAAAATTTCTAACATTATAGATGCTATATTTTTTTTTCTCTTCTTTCTTTTTTGTACTTACATATAGTGTTAGATTAGATTTACTCTATGCAATCTATATAATTTTTAAAGTTTGGCACAGACAAAAATAGTGCTGTTATGGTTGTCTTCTTTGCAACCTTTTTTTTTTTTTTTTTTTTTTTTTTTTTTTTTTATTTTTGTTCTTTTTTCTTTTGTTTAGTTTAGTATTTCTCCTCTTTTTTTATTTCTTTTATTTCATAAATTCTCTATTGTTTGTTGATAAAAATTCTTCTATCTAGGAGGCTAGAAGAAGAAGGTTGGAAAAGAAAATATTCATGATAGGCTAATAATCCATGTCAGTAATCCAGGGTAGTCTGCTCTGAGGTAGACCGAACTTAACTAGTGTGACTAAAATTATCTTTTGCAGATCGTATATAGATACTCTTATAGTAACCGGGTAAGCCACATTCTTATAGCATATAGATATTTCTACAATGTAAAAATTCATTGTTTTTGAACCAAATTTAATATCAATAAAGCATTGGAATTGTAACATGATCATCAAAAAAAAAATAATAAAAAAAATAATTATTATATTTATATTATATAAAGAGGTTTAAAAATAAAAAATCATAATATAGGTGTGGTAGCTTAGTGAAGTAGTCTAGTCATTACTCCACCAAGTAGCAAGTTCAAAGTTTAAATTTTATAAATAATACTTTTAAAAAATAAGCTTGTATTATAGTAATAATTATCTATCAATTAGTTAGGTTTTAGAATCTGTAATCTTGGTAGTACCATATTTACATAGAAGCTTTAGTAAATAAAAAACCAAAAAAACTAGGATGATCAAAACCTATTTGAAAAAACTAAGTAAGAAGTAGCTATAATCTTTAATAGTATTACAAGAAAAACTTAAATTTAGAAATTAGAACCAAGATTAGAAAACCAAATAACAACAAGATTCTTTAATAAAGAAATTTACCAACCTGGCTACCAATTTAGGAAGTTGAAAATCTGTAAAGTATTATGAAGTATACCAACTCTGGCTAACTGGTATGAAAAACTGATAATAGAGGCTCTATTCACCAAGACCAAAGCTTATAGAAGTCAAGTGAATGATAGAAAAATGCTAGATATATTCGAAGGACTAGCCTACTGAACTAGAAAAAAAACATATGCTAGAAAATCATATACCAAAGTACCAGTACTTAAAGCCAAGCCAAGATTGAATTTTTCAAGTTATTGGTTAGAAGTAAGAGATAGATCAATAAGAAAATAACAAAAAAAAGAAAAGTCTGAATATGGGTGCTAGAATTAGAAGTAAATTTTATAAGAGTAAAAATGGTTAAATAGAAATAATTCTAACTATAAGTAGGAGTCTTGACAATTATGCAAAACCAAATTGGCCCAAATAGAATGAAGAAAGCTCTAGTAGGTTTATCTTAAGAATAGCTATATATCTGCTCAACAAAAGAATACAAGCCAGTGATTAGTTGGTGCAAATCTAAATAAGTTAAGAAAGCTCTAAGGCAGTAATATACAATCTAGTGAAATGGGCTAGATAGTAGTTATTGAGTTAGTATGATACAGTATATTTAAAAATAGTTAGAATCAGAAGATTTAAATAGATAACTTTTTAGTTGGGTTATAGGTACAATATCTAGTGTAGAACCTGCAAGTAGACTACTTAAATAGATACTCAAAAGATATATATATAGCTAACTATTATATCTATAGTCTAACTAAAAAGCTATCTATTTAAACTTTTAGGTTTTAACTCCTACACTATATTCCTTCTAATATATCTTTTTAGAACAATTTACTGTTAAAGACTCTAAGACTTTAGCCTTCAATTAGTCTAATTTTTTAGAGGGCGTTTATTTTTGTAGTAAACCTAACAAAATAATACATGTCTCACATATATGCTTATTTTTAACTAGCATCTGTTATGCTACTATCACCAGGTCTGTATCTCAAGCTATCTTTTCAAATACTATTATAACCCAATTTATATCTCAAGCTACAATCTTTCTAATTAGTTTTTTATTACATATTCTTTGCTTTTGCAAGGTTCACAACAACCTTAGTACCCATATTCTAACCTTCTTCTTTCTTAGATCTCTTACTAGTCTTTCCTTTACTTCTAGCCGGCAAACCGAAAAGGTCAATCTGCTCAGGCTTTAGGTGCTTCATGATTACCCTCCTCTTGATATATACTTCTAAAGCACAAGTTCTTTTTCTCCAATTAGCGAGCTGGTGGTTTAGCTAGTGTGTCTTCCTACTTAAAAACCTGGTTGCTTAGTTTTCTAGTTTTAGTTTTCAGTTTCAAATTCAGTTTTTTTATAACACTGTTGAAGATTACTACTACTTTCCAACTCGGAACTTGCTAAATAAGTTTTTAGTTATTTTGGTTCTTTAGATTTATTATACCAAAGTTCTCATTCTAGATAGTGTGACCAAAGTTATATATTATAATTCAACTAATTGTCATAGCTATTAACTGTATTACAGAGCTATTTTTTGAAAACATCATCTATAAGATTTGAACTCTAGACCTGCTATTTGGAGGTGCAACAACTCTACCACTTCACTAAGTTGCCACACTCTCAGTTTTATATTTCTTTTTTTTACTATAGTTTATTGTTTTGCAAGAAAAAAGTTTGTTGTGTTTTTTGATACAAAAAATAGTTGAAAAGAGTTGTATTGTAAATTTGCTTTATTAGAGAGTTATAATATTTTAATAGTAATATTTAAATGATTAGATTATAGAGACCTACTAAAATTTATATATTAATATTAAATATAACAACATAGTTTTAAAATTACACTATTTTTATATTATTTACAAGTTACAGAATCGAATTTTCTTTACTGAAAAGGTAATTATAATATTTTGAAAATACTTGGGATGAGTTAATAAAAATCAAGCAAATTTTTTATAATAAAAATTTTTTATAACTTTAAACAAAAATAACTTAACAAAAACTTGACTAAATTTAGTAAAAAATTTTTTACAAACTTGTAAAATTAATTTAAAAAAAATTTGATTAAGTTTTTGTTAAGTTATTCTTGTTTAAAATTTTAAAAAAACTTAATAAAAAATATTTGCTTGGTTTCTATTAACTCAACCCCACATAGTTTTTATTATAATAATTTTTTTTTTTTTTTTTTTTTAATATTAAAGGTTATAATAAATTTTTTTAATAAATTGATCGACAAAATTTTAAAAATCTTACACTATGTTTGTAAATCATTTGGCGTGAAACACCCCAGAGGGCTACTAATTGTAAACCCCGCCTTGCCCGTTAATCCCTGTCAGGATATCAAAATTTTTATTATATACTTCTTAAAAACAAGGATTTGTGTTACAACTTGTTCAATCAAACTATTAAGAGCCTGTCATTAAGGATATAGTAAGAAAAAAAGAAAACCATCATCTGGGTTTCAAGTATATTGCCTGTCGGGCTGTTTGCATATATAAATTTAAAACCCAGGTAGGTTTTTTCTTTGCACAAATATGCAAGGGTCGTCCAACGTGTATATTCGTCTTTTTTTTAATATAGATAGCCTTAAACTTAAATTTATAAGTTAAAAATTGGAATATTCATGGAACTTTCAAGAAAGAACGGGACGAAAAAAAAGCCAAAAAAGTTTGACAGTCACTGACTTCGGGCACAACATTTAATTAATGATAAAATTTGTAACCTTTAATCTATATCAGATATATCGATATACTGTATATATTAATTAAATCGCCATAATAATACGTAACAGATAATATCGGGAAATAGTTTTAGGATCGCACTGTACATAACTGATTTTTGTGGTTACGCACATCTATATTGCATTAAAATTTTTTTTTTCTAATTAACGTGATTCCATCAAAGCACGGTAAAAGTACTTGTGTAGTTCGTTGGTCATTAGTGACGTATTCGTTAAATGAATGTAAGTGTTTAGCTGCGGGAGGAATTTGACTGAGGTCTTTTGTTTTAGTCATTTGTGATACATGACCTTTAAACAACACTGTTAAAAAAAAAGATTTTATAGTTAGGAAGTGTTGATTTTTGCATGTTGTAAATGGGGTTTGAATTCTTAATTAAATTTAGAACTTGATAGTAAAATTATTTATGTAAACCTATTTATGGGTATTAAAGTAGCAAAATTGTACGTTTGATCTTTTACATGCTCCTGTAGTCAATAATCCGGATCCGGAATTGATAATGGCGACTGGTATATGTGAGTGACCAGTGGTGCCGCAATAATTGGTTTCTAATTACACATACAGGCACTCAAAATATCGGATCCTTGACCTTGACCACAATAGCACTATTATCCGACAAACTTATATGATCATGAACGTATTTATCTTTATTATTTTTTTTTTCATATTACGATATAATCATGATTATTCAAATTAAATACACCGATAACTCCCTGTGGAATCATGATCATAAATTGTCGGATAACAACATTATTAGGCAAATTGGCGAATAATGTATACACATGAATATAAATTTAATTTCAAAATTCAGTTCCCACTTAACACACACGAAATGAAAAATGAATCAAACCATTATCAGCGACGATAATTCCATCATCAGAAAGAAGATTTCGTTCAAGAACAGTATTGTAATAATTGATATAATTGCCCTTATCAGCATCTAATTTCCGACAAGAGAATTAGATAAATTGTTAATATTAACAAATAAATATTTATCTTATTTATTTACAAAATTCTATCATACCAATAAATATCAGGTCGTATTGTACCGAATTATCTAAATTTGAAAGTCTAAAGTTTTTTAAGAACATTCGTTTACACTATTTATAATGAAGAAGATAATTAAAATAATAATCGCTCACGTATCAATTGCATTGCCAAGTTTCATCTCAATCAAGTGTCCAAGTCCTGAAGATTCTATGTTCTCTTTTGCCACTTTAAAATGATCTATGTCCTTTTCCAACGTGACTACCTTTGCTTCTAATCCTCGCTCTTTTAGACCTTCGGCCATGAACAACGCCGAATAACCAGTGAAAGTTCCAATCTCCAGCACTCTTGTAGCTTTACTAATTTGTACAAGAAACTTTAAAAAAGTTCCTTGTACTGAAGACACCATTTGATGAGACTTTGAAGATAAAGATACGGTTTTCTCATGGACAGATTCTAAATAAGGGGATTGTTTAGTGGTTTGAGCCAACGCGTACTGTTCATCCGGACTGCTAAGGAAACGGTGAGAACGATAAAAAACCTGCTTCGGTATTGAATTGTGAACAAGAAAAAACCTGTTTTTAATAATAACTCTTAAAATATCTGATCTATAAAACATAATTGATCAAGTACAGAAGTATGCAGGAACTTGAAATGCGCAATTTTTTTTAGTTTACTCAGGGTAGAAAGTAGGCAATCGTAAATTTTTCAGTGTAACGACTTTTAACGTAGTTAGCATTAGTGTAACGGACCTTAAAATAAAGTTGGCCCGAAATGACCAAAGAACGATCGACAAATCAGATTCCCACGAGGACTTCAGATCGGTTCTCGACTCGGGTGACAAGGCAAGATATCGGTGAGAATAAATTGACAATGCCTCTGTATTATACTGTTATAATCTAATCTACTAGTGTTTGTAGTCGACCTAAATTTATCGACTCGACTAAGTCGAAATTTAAAAATCGGCTTAGCCGGCTATGCAAAGTCGATTGCCTTTAGTATACAAAATATTATATCCGGAATTTCCACTGCTATAAAGTTGTTTCCCGACCATTCCTATATATATTACCAAGAGTCGACTTAGGCTAAGTAGATTTTATCGACTAATGCCAAATCGACTACAATCACTATAATCTAAAATTTGTAATTGTTACCAATTAAAAAAAAAACAATTATATTATATAAAAAACTTTATTATTAGGATATATTTTAAAAATATATTATGCTAAATCATTTATTAACTGCTAATAAATCTAATTAGATAACTTTTTCATTCATTTTATTTAACAAATCAATTGCTTGCTTATTATCATTTAATGCCGCAGATCTCAAATATTTCAACCCAAATTGCTTATCCATTTTAACACCACATTCACCATTTAAATAAATTTTACCCAAATAATAACTAGCTAAAGCATGGCCATTCTCAGCAGCCATATTTAAATAACGCAAAAATTCACTATGATCAAGATTTTCTTTTTTATATAAAGAACAAGCATACCGATATTGAGCATCAGCAACACCATAATCAGCAGCTTCTTTGTAAAGTTGATTTGCACGAGTTTTATCCTCTTTAACAAAATAACCTTGTTCATAATAATAACCTTGCCAATATTTTGCTCGATGATCACCAACTTCAGCATTTACAGAAAAATATTTCCAAGCATTTTGATAATCTTTTTCTTGATGAAGTTTAACACCTTCTTCAAGTGAAACAATAGATTTTATTGGTGTATCCAAATCGATTAAAAGTTCATCAGGATCTGGAGGCATTAATTTTTTATTTTCTGATTCTCTAGATCCATCCAAATCCAAAGTCTTGTCGTTCAAAAGCCCTCGAACACCAGGTGGGATAGGATATTTTTCTGATAAATCATTTAACTTTAAAAACAATTCATCAAAACGTATTCGATTATAAGGGTCTTGTTGCCAAGCTGAATTTTTTAAAAATTTTAAATAAGCATTTTTTATATATAAATTATATAAATTAGAAAAAAAATCTTTACCGTGAACAATAATTTTAATAAATTCAAGTTGAATTTCTTGATCAAGAAGTTTCCCACATTTAAGAGTTTCTCTTTTGCCTTTTAACACGTGATTTGATATTTCCATGAAATTCTTGTCTTTGTAAGGTTTTGTTTCATAGCAAAGTTCCCAAATAAGCATCCCAAAACTATAAATATACGTGAAAAAAAAAAAAAAAAAAAAAATCAAAAGACATTAATTTTTTTAATACAGGTACGAAACTATCTTGATAACTATTGTTAGACATACCTAAAAATCTCGGCTTGAATGGTATATCCAGCTTTTTTATCATTATTTTGGTATCTCTCAATTTGTTCAGGAGCCATCCAACGAACAACATTATTCAATTGTTCAGAAAGATCCATAGTAATATTTGCGGTCGTCATACGAGCGAATCTAAAGTTAGTAATTTTTGGAACCAAATCTCTATTTATCTAAGAGAATATGAAAAAGGTTATTATTGCTTAGTATTTATATATTTGAATTTATTTTAAATTTATTTATAATTTCAACCATTTTAACCATTTTACTTACCAGAACGTTATCGCATCTAACGTCATGGTGAACAATGTTTACTTTATGTAAAAATGTGAGGCCGCGACAAATATCAAGTACAATTTGTACTTTTCTACGCCAAGTAATATCATATTTGTCGTATAACTCTCTTAAAGTTCCATAAGTTGCCCATTCTAAAATCATAACATCGTGATTATCGATTTTTGAAAGACCATAAAAAATAAGGATGTTTGGAAAATTATTTAATTTTCCAAGAATCATTAACTCCGTCTGAAATTTCTCAAAATCTTTAATTGGTTTACAAGCGACTTCACATGTTTGTTTGTAAAATTTTTTTACAATTTTAAGATTTTTACCACGACGTTCATGAGATTGTTCTGATAATTCAGATGGATCAATATGCGGGGCATGTATTTCATCTCCAAGATTTTTAGTCATCAATTTTTTTATATACTGAATGTCTTGATTGCTTACATCAATTTTTTCATTCATTATTTCAAAATACTATTATATATTTTATAATAAATAAATTTGTTATAATAATGTAAATTATTGAAAGTTAATAAGTTAATGAGTTAAATAAAGTTAATACAAACTTTATTCATTTTCTTTAAATCATCCTCGACTTTTTTATTATCTTTCTTTCTTTGTTCTTCATTAACAATCATTATCTCGAAATGTAACTCTTTCATACATATTTCAAATTCATCAGTTAATCTATCATACATATTTTTAACATTATTTGCATCAAAAAACATTCTAGCACTTTTAAGTTCAGAAACTTCTGCTACAAATTCTTTAATTCTTATCAATAAATTTTTAAATTTATGAAAAGATTTATAACTTTCTTCTTTTCTTAAAAATTCTTCATAATCATCTTTATAATTTAATATTTTATTCATTACAGTTTCTGCATCTTTAGCTCTTTCCAATAAAATTAAACAAATATTTTTATTTCTTTGAGCTTTTTTAAATGTTTCATCAATTTTTTTAACTATATTTACTACTTCACTAACTATCGGAATATATGATCCTACAATATCTGCAATACTATATAAACCAAATTTCGTTGCGTCAATAAAATCTGATCTTTCGTAAGTTCCAGTAGATTGCTCTTCTTTCGACATGATAACTATGTTTTAATGCTAATAATAGAAAAGTAATTATAATAATAAAACTAATAATAATTTAGATGAAAATTGGTGAGCTAGTACGTACGTACGTACAGTACGTAGTCTTTTTAAAATACGTAGAATCGGAAGAATCGGAATCAATGTGCTATGTTTGTACGATTAATTTAACTATATCTGAACTTATGCATGTGTTACGCAATCTTATGTTTAAATAATGATAAATGCTAGCGCGTAAGATACTAATTTTATTATCGTCCGGAGTAGCGGGGGACACTTAGCATACAAGCTTAACAATTAAGTAAAAGCTAAATGCAATGTCGTTCCGTTGTCCGCCCACGTGATGTCGATCATTTGAAATTCGAATATTCTAGATTTTTTTTTATTAAATTAATATCGCTCGAAACGGATCGTTCCAAGTCTTTCAGGTCGATAATTTTCTACGTTGGGACAATAACTCTTTATCTCCTCGGTTTTTGTCCTATCGCTATGAATCATTTTAATATTACTGTATTAAGAGTTACAAATCTCTAGTTTATCCCAGAATTTAGAACAATAAATAAATATCACAGATCACCAAAAATTTAACTTATCACATGTGGCTATTATCAGTATTACAGTATTATATCAGCTATTCATTCAGAAAAAACCAATGGATCTTAATGGATAAGTATCATTGAGATTTCTGGATACAGTAGATACGTATAACTTTTTGTTCTTAGCGTTAAGCACTGTTACGTATCGATATACAACTCTGCTTATTCCTATTTGAAGTTCTATATATATACAATTTGTAACATAAAAGTTGTTTAATTATGCAATTTCAGTTTAAATATTCTTTCCCTGTCTAGATTCTAGACGTGCCTATCGATATCATTATCGCTATCACTATACGTATAATAAACTTCTTTTAGCATTAGTATTACGTATTATATATCTTATTAATTGTGATCACTGCACTGCTACATCAGAGAAAAAAAATATGGACGTTCAATGGGGCTCTAACTTCCAGTCCAACAACATTGCTAATAATGTAGAAACCGCGAAAAGCATAAAATTACTTTTTGCAAAAATTGTTACAATGGAGAAACAATTATCGGAAAATTCAAACCAATTTTCTATCGATATTAAAAATATTGATGAAACTGCATCGCTCTTTCAGAATGAAAGTTATTGGAAAATTAAGATTAACTCTCATTTAAGGTATAAATAATTGAACCATTTCATTTTTTCAATTCCATTATTACTTTTTTTAAAAAAATCCTTCTTTATAATTGTAGATTGGCAAAAAAATATTATGAATATATTCATCTTAGTTATTCTTCGGCCATAAAACATGACATTGAAACGAAATGTTGGAAAATTGCTTTTTATTCGTTAATTGAACAATTTCGTCAAGCAATTTCTTTGGAACGTCATCAATCTTCAAATAAATCATCATCATCATCTTCGTCATCTACTGTTACTTTAAATCAATTTAACATCTTTTTAGATGAAGCTGAAATGTTTTATAAAAAATTATTAAAATTGATTTCTGAAGATTTGAAACTTAGTAAAAAAAATTCGGAGAGTAATAAACCACCAAGATGGATACGTTGCATAGGTTATTTAGGTGACATTGCTAGATATCGTTGGACTTATTGCTTGGAAGATCAAGAAAAAAATAAACAATTCTGGGCTGAAAATGCGTCTCGATGGTATCTTTTGGGAATTCTGCTCAAGTCTAATAACGGTATGATAATTTCTTTTTTTTTTCCTCGTACCTTTAACTAACCTTTAACTAACCTTTAACTAACCTTTAACTAACCTTTAACTATATACTGTAATATATATTAGGAAAACTTTATAATAATTTGGCTATTCTTGCGGGTCAGGATGAGTTTAAAATGCTGTATTATTATTGTAGAAGGTACGTATATACATTTATCAACGTAATTCATTTACCTACCATAAATATTATAATATTTACTTTATAATTTTTCTATTGCTTTTCTATATTTTTGTTTTAAAGCCTTATGGTTAATACTCCTTACATGGCCGCTCGTGAACCACTTATTTGGTTATTCGAAACAAATCGTAAACGCTTTGCAACTCTCGTAACGAACAATAATAAACAAAAGCAAAAAGGTCGTGCTTATTCTCAACGTGAAAATTTACAATCTTCGAATAAGCGATGTGATAATTTGAATAATAATTCAATTGAGAGTTTATATGTAAGATTACATGGAATGCTTTTCACCAAAGTTGGTCTTGAATTCTTTGAACAAACTTTAAATGTTTTTATGGATAAATTATTCAAATTAAAAAGCAACCAAATTTCTAATAATACAAGTGGGACTCATTGGTTAGAATTTTGCTTACAAATGGTAGTCATTAATATATCAAGCTTATACAATTATGGCAATACCGAGAATTCGTCTCTCAAGTCAACTACGGTAACTGATGGGGATTTAAAGCAGACTTTAGATTTAGATCCAACTTTTGCCGAAGAATCTAGGCTCACTTTTGGTATCATGTACCAATTCATGTCTAAATATCTTGACTCTATGTCATTTCAAGGAGAATTCGATGTTTCTGAAGGATTTCTTTTATATTGTGAGATAGTATTACTTTGGATGGTAGCTAATGATGCTTTTAATAACTCTGCTGATAAATCTAATAATAACTGTATTTGGGGAAAATTTTTGGACAAATCTATTTGTCCTAATTTCTGGGAAACTTTGGCTCGATTCCTTACAAAAATTGCTCATCAAGTATCTCCATTTACAATAAAAGAAATTATAGAATTTTCTTCAAATGTTGAAAATTCAAATCATGTAGAACGTATTCGTCCTCCACCATTAATTGAGGATTGGAAATTACGTGGTATTTCTTGGCTTCAGTCACTTTATGAACCATATTTGTTTGAAAATATATCTAAACCATATATAAAATTTGTTGATGATGATATCGAGATTATTACAAATAATTTTCATGATAATTTGGATTTGAATTCTGATCAAGATGCTAAAACTCGTCGTAGAGCAAGAATTATGGAATTGGGTTATCTATTAACTAAGGTAATTTAATTTTTTTCACTTACTGTATTTTTATTTTATTTATTGATGAAAAAATAATATTTACTGTTCTATATATATATATATATAATGTGCGATCTCTTAGAAAATCATTGGTTTGGATTTTGATATTGAAGATACCACTTTTACGTCTTCTTTAGAGTTAGTTAATGAAATTTCTGACAAGGAAAATGAACGTCCTTCAACGTCAAAATTATTAACTGAAGAAGATGAAACTAGTCATGTTATAACGAAATGTGTAGATAATGAATACACTAGTGATCACATTGAATCAGAGGATGAAGGAATTATGGAATTAAAAGTATGTTTTTATAAAGTATTTTATTTATAAAGTATTTTATTTATAAAGTATTTTATGTTTATTTTTTGTTTCGATCAACTTGTTATTTGTCTATTCTTATTTAGTCTCGCAGACAAGAATTAGAAAATCTTTTAGCTACAACTCGTGAGAGTTTTCGAGGACCTTCAGTACAAAAATTTTCGTCAAAGAATTCCAGGAAATATACTCCTCATGCAATGAAAAAAGTGTCAGCTTTGCCTTCTAGAGTTGTTGCTGGATATACCACTATTGTAATTGATACCAATTGTCTTGTTGGAGATCTCAATATGGTCAAAAAAATAATCCAAAGCAATAATTGGGTGGTGGTCATACCTTTAGTCGGTAAGTAGCTTAATAATTACCGTAAATTCTCGAATACAAACTTGTGTAAATTTTTGTAAATCTTTTTACAAAATTTTATCAAAAATATTTCTGAGTTTACGGTAGTTATTAATGATTAATTTTGTTAAAATTTCCCCTTTATTTAAAATTGAGACCATTTTTTCCAGAAATTAATACTGTATTATATAATGGGTGCATGCTTGAGTTTCATTCCATTTTTTTTCCTATCATCATAGTTATCACAGAATTGGATGGATTAAAACTCAATCCACCTCCTCTTGGTACTGCAGCATCCGATGCGATTAATTATCTTGAACAAGCTTTATCATCGTCTAATAGGATGAAAAAACTCAAAGTTCAGACAAGTAAAGGTAATTACGTATCTGGAATTAACTTTAGTGAAGAATTTGATTTTGGTGATGGTGAAGATAAAAAGAAAAATTTGGATGACCTTATTCTTGGCATCTGTCTATGGCATGCTAAAAATCACGGAGAGAATAGTTTTAATAACAAATCGGAAAAGGAAAGCAATAACAATGAGGTCGTTGTATTGCTTACAAATGATCGAAACCTTCGAGTTAAAGCGCGTGCAAGAGGCATTGATGTTGTGAGCTTTCAAGATTTTAATGAATTAATATGAGTATACTCAAATGTGATGATGGCCCAACGTGAAGAAATCATGTGATTTGCAGTATTCGTAGATCCGATATCATAGACTTTTCGTTCACATGATTACATCGATTATCGATTGTAAATAGAATTTTTTTTATTTTTTTTATTGTATCGTTGTAAATAAAACAACTTTCGATTTTTTTTTTTAATTAAATAAATAAAATGCGGGGTGATCTTGTGATTTACTGTGTTTCTAATGTTAAGGAATGACTGTACATTTATGAAGGTTGTAAAGTATGTTCCTCAAGATCACAGTAGATCATAAAATTCCCACATCCTCGCTAAATGGTATTCTAAATTATCTTCGTGGCGAACGTTTTATCCTGTGTGAAACATGTAGTTTCGTTTTTCACTTTCACAATAACGATCATATAAACTCAAAAAAGTTATAGTGAAATCATCGTAAAACACATTTTAGCATTACAAAAAAAAAGTATATATATTAGTATCGAATGTTCAATTTTTCTATTTAATATTAAATCTAGCAGGTTTTTCTTTCAATAACGATTTTTCGCTGCCGCAGTTTTTTGATATTGTTACACGATTTATTTATGTATGGTATTTTAAACGTAACATTGCATAAATTGTGTAACTATCAACGATTTTAAATATATAGGTGTCACACGTCTTTTCTACAGAGAAAATAAAAAATGATTATTTTTTAATAAAAATTTTTAATATAATTTTTTAAATTGTAAAAATGTCTAATGTCGAATCTGTTGTTGTTGCTGTAGTAATTAGTGAATCGACCCGCGTAAGAGGGTTGAGATTTGAAGTAGATATTGTAGAGATGTTAAGGAGAGTTGGCAATGTTATTCATAGAGGGTGAGTTTCTCACAGAGTTATTTGTCGAGTTGTTGTGTATCCGAAGTTACGCTGTCACATCGGTGTAAATATCTAGTAAAAGGAATTGAAAGCACATCGTGGCCACTGTTTTATCAGTGAACGTTCTTCCTTTCTAGTTTCCGGGTGTTCCCGAGCTTGCTTAGGCAACTGGGAATTCATGATGAATAGGATACACTCTAACATAGAAAGCACTGCCGTAGAATATTCCGACTGTGCAACTTCTTTGATTAGTTGATGATTATGACGCAAGTACTCATACTTTTTTAATTTTAGTGGACCAGGAGATGGAGGAATTGATATTATATGTGAAATTTCTAGGGTTCGATTCGTCATTCAATGCAAAAATTGGGTCACAACTAATATAGGTACTATTATGTTAAATCATATTCCAATTATTAATTATTATAAATCCAAAGTTATATTCACAGGTCGCCCAATCGTAGATGAATTGCTTGGGGTACTCATTCGAACCCAACAACCGAATGGAACCATAGGTATTATAGTAGCCCCTTCTATGAATAACTTTACACCCGGAGCGATAGATGCAGCAGTAGAGATAGCAGAATCATCTGCTCCAACTTATCCCATCATTGTAACGGGTAAAGCTCAATTGCCAAAATATTTAATTAATGCTGTTCTTAGTAGACTACTTAATAGACCTTATACTTTTGTCCTTTTACCATGAATTTCGGTTAATCCTTTACTTTAATTTATGTTAATTTACTATGCCAACGTTATATGATCATAACTAATAAAATTTTATTAAAGCAAAATGATATGATTTTTTTTAAATATTTACGACTCATAAATATAGTTGAGGAAATCGGTCTTTGCCAGCAAAATGACCTGTCCCGAAGGGTCATTTTGTTTGCAAAAATTCCGAATCTCGATTAATTATAATAATAATTTCAAGTAGTTGCAACGTTTTTTAAATGCTTTGAAAAGAAAGACTATACATAACATAATTGCAAAATAAATATAGCATGGTACTATATAACGATAAAATAAATTACCATAATTTTGTCTCATCGAGAAAGGTATTATATAAGCCACGATGCAGATTTTGAGTATCAAATGCAACCTATATATAATTTTTTTTACCTAAGTGTAGGCTACTTTGAATCGTTTATCATAGTTATTGTCCCAATAGACCACTCTTGAAGTGTGGGATGATGAAAAAATCAGACAATCCTATATGAAAAAAAACCAATGCTCTCCTACGTAACTATCCTTCATATTTTTATTACTACCCTTTGGTCACTACGCTAATTATATCTACTAGAGTAAAATGTACATATATGCACCAACATTCTTTTGTGATTGTTGTCTCGACAGTCCACCTTCCAGTTCAACGTTACGACTATCGTAAAGCAAGCTAAAATTAACTAACTAAAGGCTATGACACTCATCATCAGATTATACAGTAGCTTCTTTAAACAAGATTGCTGTCCCGTCAGTTATATTTAAGAGTTTGGTTTGAGGGACGAAAAAAAAAAAAAATTACTATATTCGAAAAAAAAAAACCAGAACCACTTAAATATGATTATTCGCGAAATTTACATCCGATAGATTAATTTACACTACGTGTTTGATTCGAGATAAAAATTACGTTGATACTATAATACCGGGCAACTAATAAACTTAAACTTCAATATCTGATATAGTATAAAAATTAATTTTTAATTTTATTTTATTTATTGTTTTACTTTATGAAAGGCAACCCCAGCAAAATAAAAAAGCAGGTTAATTTCGCATTCATATAATATACTGATCTTGTAATTCCATTGGTCGATCAAGGATTATCATCGTGCAAAAACTTCTAAAAAATTAAAAAAATTATATAAAAACTATTTTTTATGGATATATTCTCAATATAAAGTTCGTTATATTCTAGATTGAAAAAAAAAGTTTAGTGAGTTCTGATTGCAATTAATAATAAATAAAAAAAAAAATTGTGTTAGCGCTCGAATGAGGGCCGCCACAACGCTCGTCAGCGCGGATCGGCTCACCCCACCCCTAGGTATCGAACCCGTCACAGGCGCGTACTGCTCAGAGAACTACACCATTACACTAACTGACTTATAGTCTGTAAATTTTTTTATGTCAGCTTTTTTATATTGTTATAATTAATTTTGTAAGCTT